GATTCATCTATGAGATGAATCTGTGTGATGATCACACAAGAATCTCATGAAAATAATTGAGAGTTAACTGAAATTCTTCTATATGAAAGATATGAGATGAATCTGTGTAATAGTCAGAGAAGAATCTGTAGATTATAAAGAATCTCACAGAATAAGAAACTGAGTGACAGACTCTTTTCTCTTTATAATGACAAGAGATTTTTTCTCACTGAGATTTTTTATAGATATGAAGAGTTTTTAGTGAGTATCACTGCAGTGCTGAGCTGACTCTATGAAGTCACTCAGTGAAAGGCTTCACAGATGAAGCCTTAGAGAGAAGAAGATATGTAAGAAATCTCACTTCTTATGAATTCTTTATCTCTATTTCTATCTCTCATATAATCAATAGGGCTAGCAGCCCTTGGCTACACACAACTATATAGACTGAAGTTCATGAATACTATTCATAACTCAGCTTGAATGCTATTATACATTTGATCTCTACATTTTATCTTTCTACCATGAATACTTCTAGTAGTTAACAGTACATATCACGCCAAGCTGCAAACACCCGAATAATCGCCTGTGAGCACTTATTCTTACAGATAACTCTTGCAGGGTTCGAATCTGCTCTCTCTTGACATTCATTCCCCGGGGGGAAGGCCGCTAATTGAGGCTTCATAGTAGCGTAGTTAATCACTACACCACCGGGTCACATTTCAGAAGTATATTAACTGAGCACTTCAGAATTTTCTTAATGAATTTGTATTTATATATCTCAATGATATTTTCATCTTCACTGATGAGTTCAGAAAAGAATATCAAGAATATATATAAAGAGTATTACAATAATTACAAGAAGCAGAACTATTAATAGATATTAATAAGTATGACTTTGAAGTCAAAAGTATTAAATATCTAGGTTTTATCATAGAAGCTGGTAAGAGAATTTGAATGAATCTCAAGAAAGTCTCTGCTATTCTTGAATGAAAAGCTTTATATACTGTGAAAGATATATAAAGCTTTATTGAATTTATTAACTTCTATCAGTGATTTATATAAAACTTCTCAGATATCATGAGATCACTTACAGAACTTATCAGAAAGAACTCAGTATTTCAGTAATCAGTAAATACTGAAGCTGTATTTACATAGATAAAGAAGATGTTTATCAACATCTCTCTACTAATAATATTTAATTTCAATTATGAAATAGTTATTGAAGCTGACTTCTCTAACTATGTTATAGAGAGAGCTATATTATAATATAATAATAAAGATATCTTATAATTATATATCTTCATGTCTAAGAAACTAAGTTCTGCTGAATACAACTGTGAGATCTATGATAAGAAACTTCTTACAATTATACACTGTTTAGAGAAATAAGACTCTGAACTCTGAAGTGTCTCTGAATTTGAGATAATCATTGATTATAAGAATCTCAAGTACTTTATAACTATCTGCAAACTCACTGAATGATAGATGTGATGATCTGAGTTCTTAAGCCACTTTTATTTTATAATATACTATTATTCTGACAGTCAGAACTTGATGATAGATACTCTCTTATAACAAGAGTAAGATATGTCTTTCAATATAACAGATATCTGTTGAATGAACTGAGAACATCAGCTTCTAGATCTGAAGATATTAGTTAATCAAGATGAAACAACTTATGACACTATATGTACTTCTTCAATTAGAACATTTTCTCTTCAAACTATCACTGATATTAACACTAATACTGATACTGATATCTCAACTTCTTCTGAACCTACACTGAATGAATTATAATATATAACAGTTCAAACTGATGAACTTTTTAAAGTGCTCACTGAAGCAGTATATCAAGAAGCACTCTGATTTCTCTCAGAACTATGTATAAGAATCAACATCTCAGAATATTCAATCAATGATAATAATACTCTATAATTCTGTAAATGATGCTGAGTCTCTCACTCTGAACTCTTACATATCTGAATAATGCAAGAGATGTATAACTCTTATATAGCTGACTATTCAGGTTATGAATAACTGTATTAAATAGTCTCTCAGAAGTTCTACTGGCCTGAGATATTAAATAGCATCAGATATTTCATCTGAAACTGTAATTATTATTTCTCTATCATCTTATGAAAGAACTGTAGAAAAGATCTGCTGAAACTACTTAATATCTCTGATAAAATCTAATAACATGTGATAATTGACTTCACTGTTAATCTCTCTGAGAGTAAGAACTATAGAAACATTCTGATCATCATGAACTAATTGAGTAAGAGTGTAATATTGAAACCCTGTAACAAGATAAATACTGAACAAGTCATTGAAGCTTTTCTAAGAAGCTTATTCTATCAAATGTATAAATTACTGAGATTTATAGTATTGAATCAAGACTGTTAATTTATAAGTACTCTCTGAACAAGAATCTGTCAAGTTCTTAAGATTATATACTGTCTGTTAACTATTTATCACTCTGAGATCAATGATGCATCAGAATGAATAATTCAGACTGTAAAGAATTATCTCTGTAAGTTATGTAATTATTTATAAGATAATTAATATAATCTTCTTCTACATACTGAAGTCACTATCAATGACTGAGATGTCATTTCAACAGATATAAGTCTGTTCTTTCTTATATACAGATATTATATGAAAGTACTGAATCTTCTAGAGATTATACATTTCACATCAAATTCTCACAGTTCAATTCAGATCACTGATAATATAGTGATAAAACTCTGAGATATCTGTAATTAAGTAGAAGTCTTCATGATAAGTGTTAAACAGAATTAAGAAGATCAAATTAATATTCACTGAGATCTCACTAAATAATATAAGATAGAAGATCTGATATAATTGAATCTTAAGAATATACAGACTACATACTTATCTTACACACTAAATTATTATTATATAAAGTATAAAGTGATAGAAGTTCTAGACAGTTATAACTATTATCTTGACATATTATCAGAGATTCATAATGTCTTTTATATAAGCTTACTTCATTATATCATCACTGATATGTTCTCTTCTCAACTGACTTTTAACTGATAGCTGTCAAAGATCATAGAAGAAGATAATGAACTTGAATAAGAGATTAAAGATATTCTTAATGAGAGATTCTGCAGCTGCAGCTGATAATATCTTATAAAATGAGTCAGTTATAATCACTTAATCTGAACTCTGAGTTCTGTATTATCTGAGACTGCAGCTCTTGACTGATGAAAGCTATATATAATTAAGAAAAGAGAAGAGAATTGATATAACAGTCTGCATCTGATTAATTATATAGACTATTCTATTACACTTCACAGATTTCTACTGCTCTGATTCTCAGTTACTAATTCTTAGTTAAAAATCTATGAAATTTCTATTCTTTCACTCTGAAGTTTCATTATATATATCACTGTATACATGTATAAATATTCACTCTGATTACTGATTCTCATACTTTGTCTTTATTTTCTTCTCTAATGTTTTTCTCTTTGTTATATAAGATCTCTATATTATATTAATCTATTTAGTGTAGACTTCTTACAATTTCTATTTTAATTAAAAATAAGAATTTTATATTTAATTAATTTATATTATATTACTCTTTTAATTTAACTCTGAAATTATTGTATAATATATAGTATATTATAATATACTTAGAATTTTCATTTAAATTGTAAAATAAATATTTTATTAAATGAAATCTGTTATTAAATCTTTGTATATAAAATTTAAAATAATTATATTTTAATTTAAATTGAATTATAAATAAGAATATTTTCTTTTTATATTTTATTTTCAATTTATTATATCTGTATTATTGCTGTTACTTCTCTTCAGCACAGATGTATAAGTAAAATAAGATTTTTATTTAAGTTTTATTTTAAATTTTATCAACTTTTTTATTTTATTTATTTAAACAAGTTTTTTTATTTTTTTTATAAATGATTAAAATACTGTTTTTTAAATACATCTGTTTAATTCTATACTTTTTTTACAGTTAAATTAGTTATATTATTATTATTTTTAAGACTTTTCTCTTTTAAGTTTTTATAACAGAATTTAAAATCAGTTTCAAATTTATTTAATTATTATAAATTTAATTATTTCTCAATTTTTTTAAAGTAATTTAATTAATAAAGAATATTTATATTTCTTTCAAACTAGTTTATTTTTTATAAGGTTTTATCTTAATAAGTTTTAAAATTTTCACTATTATAAATAATTCAGTATTAAAAACTTCAGATTTATTTTTTTAAATTTTATAAATCTGAAATAAAATTAATATTATTTTTAATATAAATAATATTTATATTTAATTTATTTAAATATTTATTTTTTAAAGTATCTGAATAAATCAGAATTGAGTTTTTTATATTAATTACAGAGATTTTCTCAAATATTATTTATATTTGCTTTTTTTAAATAATTTGTTTGTTTATAAATTTATAAAAGATTTCAGTTTTTCTCTTCAGAGAGATATTTTTTCATATTCAATTTTTTTAATATTTAAAAAGAAAAATTAATTTTTAATCATTGAATATAATTTATATAGTTAAAAAAGCATTTTTTTAAAAAATTGTTTTTATTTTAATTAAGAGATCTATTTTAATTTAGTTTATTTTCAGATGTGGCGGGCTGCGCCCGATCAATCATATAGACTATTTCATTACACTTCATAGATTCTTCCATTTCCAATCACTGATCCGCGGCCGCTACGAACGCGCGTAGCATATGCTCCGATTCTCAGCCACTCTCAATCACTGATCTGCGGCTGCTACAAACGCGTGTAGTGTATGCTTCAATTCTCAGCCATTCCTGATCATCAATTCTCAGCTGCTATGAACACGTGTATATTCTTCCACCTCGAAGCTCCACCACATACATCACCACATACATATATAAATATTCACCTCAATCACTGATTCTCACACTTTCTCTTTCTTTTCTTCTCTAATGTTTTTATCTTTGTTATATAAGATCTATAATATTATACTGATCTATTCAGTGCAGGCCTCTTACACTATAAAAACCACAGTGACAATCGACCGCTCCACCATGAACTCGCTCGATTTTTCGAATAAGAACCCGCCGATAGATCCATCGAAAAGCCCTCGATCATACGAGCATTCTGACCCCATCGCCGACCGCATACCCTGTGTGGTGGTGGAGTTATCCAGCCAAACGTGAACCGGACGTTGTTCAAAACTCCTGTGTGGGAGTATCCCCCGTTCTCCCCTACCACACCACAACCCCGGGCCAAAGTGCCATACAAATTGTAAGGTGAAGAGACCTAGCCATATGCACCAATCTTCTTGATTTTGGAAGATCCCTGATCTGTAGTTGTGGAGATATCTGAGGAGCGACCTCCGCGAAAACCCTGTCCATCTTTGATGTTCCAAAACACCAACGCCAAGTCCCACCGTTGTACCGCCCTTCCTAATCTGGCCCATCCCCGGCAGAAAAATACAAAAAGATACCTTGGCAATAATATCAAGCACATAATCAACAGCCACTTCTGAAGTGCAACCTCCGCGGTCTGTCTTCAGTGTATCTGAACATCAATGCCAAGTCTCGCCCTTGTACCACCCCTCTCAATCTAGCCCATCCCCGACAGAAAAGTACAAAAAGATACCTCAGCAACTGTACTCAATACATAATCAGCAGACACGACAACTATAAAATCAGTATACCCTAAGGTCTGACTGAGCCTTTGATCCCTGCACAGTGAGATATATTAAATCTAGTTTTAATACCTCAATATTCAATAGATTCTGCAAGGAATTGAGAACAGCAATACTAGATTTCTATTGAATTTAAGAATTAACTCTATATTGATATAATCATTGACAAAGTCTTCTATTTTGAGATATAAATAACCAGTTCCTCTACATCTCGCTGACAATATTTATATTATCATATAGAAACAGACTTATATTCTCTATAATATCAAGACTCTGAAGAGGGAAAGTCTTGATAGAAGATATACAGTAGTGCATATCTTAGCAGTTTCTATCTCATTCTTCTGCAGCAGTTAATGCAAAAAAAAGATTTTAGAAATAGTTTTTTACTTCTCTTAAAAAAGTAAGGTGTTTTTCTCTGGGTTTTACACAATATTCTTACAAAGAATTAAAAACAGAGTTATTTTCTGTCATAATTTCATATTCTTTTAAATAAGAATTACTTTTTCAGTGGCTGAAGAGCTTTCATTAATACTTAATTCTTTTTTACACTCTTTATTAACTGATTTGAGTTGCACACCTGTTGTGCGAGAAGAATTGAATAATTTAGAATAAAATTAAATAGTTTTAATCAATTTCTCTTCAAAAAATTGATTTATTTTTTGTCAGTTTTTCTCTCAAAAACTGTCATATTATCTGATTTACTATTAATTGATATCATACTTTTCCTCACTGTATCCTAAGAAAGAGATTGTAAAGATTTTATTGATTTATCTTAAAAATCAATTTTAGTTTATTAGATTCTCTTCAAAAATCTAACCTAGTTACTGAACTAGTGTGAAAAAAATCAGGTATTTTATACATAAAAGTCTGCGATTCTTCTTTTGAAATAGTCTGATCAACTTTTCAATTGAAAACAGACTTAGAAACCTCTTAATTGAAACAGTCTGACCAACTTTTCAATTCAAAAGAGTTTAATAAATATCTCAATTGAATTAGTCTGATCAACTTTTCATTGAGTAAGAACAACAAGTTCAAAAGTACACTCAGTTGATGTGAAAAAAGATGCTTTCTCAAATGCTATTCCTAAGATTGAAATTCTGAAGAGAAGAAAGAAAGAAGAGATAGAGAAATAACAAGTTCTTGAAATACAGAAACTTGAAAAAGCAAGTAAAATTCTTGAAAAGCAGTGTCTGAGTGAGATGAATGAAGAAGTTCTGTTAATTCTTCATGCTCAGACTAGACAACTACAGGAAGTGATCAAGTTCAAACTTGGAATTTCAAACACAGTTCAAAAAACTTTGAAAATTTCTAATACAATCACTGACTCTTCAGTTTGCTCTTCTTTCTTTTCTACTTCTTCTTCTTCTTCTTCTTTGAATCAGAAGAAAACATATGCTCAAGCAGCTGAATCTGCTGTCTCTAAACCTGCTGTCTCTAAACCTACTGTCTCAAAACCTGCTCAAAATTCTGAGAAAACTGAGAAGAATACTGCTCATGCCTCTATTCATAGAAAAGTGGAAAAGAAAATGCAAAAAGAGAAAAACTTCCAAATCTCCAGAAATAAAAGACTTATTCTCAAAGTCTCAAACCAGGATATTCTGCAAAGAAACAAGCTAAACTCAAATCTCATTTTCAGAATCAGAAATGAAATTAATCAGCAGTTCTTTTCTCAGTTAATGACTGATATTGAAGTTCAAAAATCAGTTATAGCTTCAATTGAATCATCATTCTTTGAAAACTCCATCATTCTGACTACAATGCCTGAATTCAGTGCTGAATTCCTTATTCAGAATGAGAATCTCTGAAAGTCAGCAGTAGAATCTTTGTTAAACACAACAATTCTATCTGAAAGAGATGAAAAGTGGGACAAATTCATTCTTCATGATATTCCAGTTGAAATTTTTGACTGTGAAGAAGGAATGCTACTTCTCAAAAATGAATTGAAAGAATACAACTCTATTCAACTGAGAAAGAAGCCTGTATGACTAAATTCAATTGAGTTCAGACAAAGCAGGAGAAATGCCTCTGTTCTAGTATATACAAAAACACTTGAACAGTCAAAGATCTCTGAAGTAAGAGTAGCAGATTTGAAAATGAGAGTTCATGAATACAAAGACTCAAGAATGAACCTCAAAGCTCAAACACAGTGTTCAAACTGTCAAAGATATGAACACTTTGCAATCTCATGTTTTAGAGACTCAAAATGTGCATTCTGTGCCAGAGATCACAAAACTAGTGAGCATAAATGTGAAACATGCTCAAAAAGAGATGAAATTTGTCAACACACTCTGCTTAAGTGCTCTAATTGTAAAGAAAAACATGCATCTAGCTCAAAAGAATGTATGTTTGCTCCTAGAACTCAAAAGAACTGGAGAAAAGATGAAGCTCAAAGTCAATCTAGAACTGAAGAGAAGAGTCAAGCCAGTAAACTCACAACTGCAAGCTCAAAAAGAAGAAACTCTCAACTATCTAAGTCTTCAAACTCCAACTCTCCAGCTAAATGTAAACAGAACTTGAATTCTCAAACTCCTGTTAAGATTAGAGAATTGAGAAATGACTCTGATGATAAACTAGATATAATGCAAGCAGTTGAGATTCCTACTTTTCAGAACAGTTATAATCTACTATCTGATAATAGTGATTAGATTCTACTCTACTCTCTTTTAGTATGAATATACAACAAAAACAACAAAAAAAGTTTAAAAACTCTTCAAAAATCACATTTATTCAAAATAATGTGAATAGAAACTCAAATTGTATTTATTCTTGTCTTCAAATTGCATTTGAATAAAAAGTTGATTTTATACTGCTTCAGGAGCCGAATTTTGATGCTGAGCAAAAATATGTTATTTCTCATTCAAGCTACTACTGCTTTTTACCTCAAAAGTCTGAGATAAAGTCAAGAGTAGTGATCTATGAAAGAAAGAGATCAAGATATCAATTTAATCTAAGATTTGATATCATGTCTGACCCTGATATTCTGGTGAGTGATATTATAGATAAAGAAAATGAGTTTGATACTATACAGCTCATAAATATCTATAATGAAAAGTCATTGAAGGAAAATAACAATATCTGGACAATTGATAGAGGATTTCTGAACATAACTCTATCAAGAAACTCTATAATTGCAGGAGATTTCAATGCACATCATCTCTGATGAAATTCAGAATGCAAGAGAGCAGTGAGAGCTGATAATCTGATTGAATGAATCTTTGAGCATTCAATAGATTTGGTTAATAAGTCTGATCAACAAACATTCTTTAGAAAAGACATGAAACAGAAGTCTATTATAAATCTAATCTTCATGTCACAAAATCTAATGAAAAGAAGACTTGTAAACTGGTTTATTGATTCAAATGAGACATCAGAATCAGGTCATGAGATTATTCAATTTGATATTGAACTGAGTGAAAAACAAATGAGTGAAAATCCTCTTCTCTCTAATCAGTATAACTTTGAAAAAGCTGATTAAAAAGCAGTTGAAGAAAGCATAAAACTGCTAAAATCTGAAAGACAGAATGAGCTATATTGAAATTCTGATCAAGATATCTCAAATGAAATGCTTGAGAATAGAGTAAAGCTTATTACATCTATTATTCTAACAAGTGTTAGAGATAATATTTCAAAAAGAAAATCTTCTGAGTATTCAAAACCTTGATGGAATGAGAATATCTCATCTAAAAGGAAAGAATTAGCTACTGCTAGAAGAGATTGGAAAAATGATGTAATATCTGATGAAGAGTTCAAAGCTGTCAGAAATGAATATTTTTCAGATATCAAAAGAGCTAAAACAGACTGCTGGAATAAATTTCTTGAAGAAGCACAAGGAAAGGAAATTTTTAAAGCTTTTAACTATACTAAAACAAGAAGTGTAGCAAAACTTCCAGCCTTAGAATATGAGTTTCAGAATGAATCATATACAGCAAACTCTTTTGAGGAAAAATGTCAAGCTTTCATGAGAATTCTCTTTCAGAACTCATCAGACTCAGATTCAGATTCAGAGGAAGAGAATATATCACTTCTCAACTACATTGATGAAAATGACTGGAAATGGCCTGATCTTACACAAGATGAATTAGAGTCAGCTATCTTCTCAAGTTCTGTTAAAACTGCTGCAGATCCTGATTCAATTAATCACTTGATTATTCAAAATACATATTCCTACTTAAAGAATGAATATTTTGAGCTCTTTTTCAATCTCTTGAAAAATGGATATCATCCTGAATGCTGGAGAGAAGCCACTGAAGTGATTCTTGCAAAACCTAATAGAAAAACTTCAATTCCTAAGTCATATAGAGTAATATCTCTATTGAACTGTTTAGAAAAGGTTTTAGAAAAGATAATAGCTACTTAACTATCTTTTATAAGCTCTATAGATGATTCTCTTTTATTCAGTGAACAAATGAAAGATAGAAAACAGTGTTCTGCAATTGACACTGTTCTCTCAGTTGTTCATGATATTCAAATAGCAAAGCATGAGAGTCTGGTCTCAACTGCAGTTTTTATTGATATAAAGAGAGCATTTGATCATGTTTCAAAGTCAAAGTTAATTCAGACATTGAAGATATTAAAACTGTCACTTTCTCTAATAAAATGAATTAACTGTTTTATGTCTAAAAGAATTATACAACTCTTCTTTGATGGAATGAAACAAGACAAGACTGAGATAAAAAATAGGAGTACCACAGGGATCTCCAATCTCACTCATTTTATTTGCAATATACACTGCATATCTATTCAAAAATAGAAATATGAGAATAGTGCAATCTCTGAGTTATGTGAATGATATTGGTCTAGTCTACAGCTCAAAAACTATCAAAGAGAATTT